TATTACAGTGGTGCTTATATATATTACTATTTATTAAAATTATATATATATATATAAAATAAAAAACCATATATACCCATATAAATATATAATACCCAATAAAATACAATACAATAAAGTATAGTAGAACCCCATAATAGTGTGACCGGAGGGTCGGCACCTCTAGTGCCCTGTCAGGATTTCAACAGTAAGCTGAAACTTGCAACAATAGGTCGTGAGGTTATGAGAAAGTGTCTTTTTAGTTGCTGAGAACTTGTTGAATGATTAACTCCCAGGTGTGAAAGTTGACAGTAGTTTAATAAAATGGTATCGTAAAAAAGCTAGGTTATGCCGTAAATAAACAAGGCTGAGTCTCACAATAGTATTAAAAACCATGTTAGTAATATAAAATCCATGGGCCCATATATCATACAATATGCTATACATCCCTTATACATTAAAACCATATAATACATGCACTATAAAACCATAAAACTAAATAAAATCTTAGGTCATACACTGACCCTTAAAACCATGCACCTTATTAACATACCTTTTAAATCCTTGTATGCGCCATTATATATTACCTTGGTGTTCACCAACTTGATGCAGACCTCACCAAAATCTATATTTAAAATATCTTTTAGCTCTTCTATATCTATATAAAAAAGTACCACAATCCAACATAAAGTGTTGGAGGATGTCGACAGCACCACACTCACAATAGTCATTCTCGACCAGGTGGAATGACTTCAGCTTACTGTTGAAATCACCATCAGTCAGTCAGTATCTGAGTTGAAATTTGGCTCAATCCAATTAGCCTTTAGGCTATTAATAATACTAGGGTAGAAACTACAGGTTATTTTCCCTTTATTAGACCTATTTCACCGGTCTTGCCAAAGACCATATACCATATTTGCTACCACTTGCTGTTTATTTTTAATACCAGTTGCAGTACTGTCGTACACCACACCAACATAATTAAAAATCATGCCTTTCCTTATAAGGGCATAAAAATACCATTTTTCTATCTCTAAGTCAATTGGTAAAAACCCCCAATCACCTGGAGGCAACAGTAGATATAGTATTATACCCTTTTGTTAAAATGAATAGGACATTCCTTTGGGCCTTTTCTAATTTGACCTTATGGTACCTTTAATGAGGTCCTGCCATGCTAAAACACCATATAAAAGAGTACTTAAAAATAAGCCTTTATATAAAACACAGAGTCATGAAACTGGAGTCCCATTCATTCCTAGTACTTTGCTTCAACACACAAAATACCTTAGTACACCATTTGGTGATAAACGTGACGTATGGTGTTATGCTCATACCGGCCCCAATATATATACCTAAGAACTTAACAGAGTTGCTAACCTTTATAATTTTATTACCAAGCCTGATTCTTGGCTGCTGTCCTTTTCTCATGCTGCCTTTTAAATAATAATGTCACCGTCTTATCTACTGACAGCTCTAGTTTATTTGCCACTAGCCACTTTTGAAGCTTTACCACCCAATTTTCACCTAGAGACTCCAGCTCGCTCTTCAATTTACCAGATATCAATAAAACCAGGTTGTTCGCATAAGCAATAAACTCAGTGTGACTATCATTCAAAATCTTTAGGACACCATCAAACAAAAGATCCCAGAGGACAGGCCCACCATAGGTGATCAAAAGCACCTTTAATATCAAAAAATATACTAAGAACGTATTTGCTACAAGATTTATTGACCACATCATGGAGATGCATCAGGGCATCCTCCTTCGAACAACCTTTCTTAAAACCATATTGGTACTTATTATTGTACTCATTAATTACAGATTCTAATCTGTTCTTTATTATCCATTCAAATATTTTGCCCAATATAAGTATTAAACAAATGAGCCTATATGATTTCAAATTAGTCTTATCTTTGTCACCACCCTTATATATTATAATCATCTTCTCCTGTTTCCAACAATTTGGGAATACACCATACACCAAACATGCCTGATAAAGGCGCCTCATATGAGGCCTTAATACCTCATAGGTAATATAATCGGCCCTGGGACCTTATGCCCCCACAAAGCCTTAGTAGCTATGTTTACATCATTTTCTGTTATTTCATCAACATGCTTAGTACCACTAAAGTTATGCATCATTACCCATAAATTAGTATGAATAATTTCATCGTCCTGCTCGTTATCATTTGGAAACAGGGAGCCCAACAAGAACTTGACTACCTTGGTCCAATTGAGTAACTCCCTATCACCATATCTCATATTAACCAATACAGTAGAGCATCGATTATCTGAATCAATTGGGGACTGGGGTTGTTTGGAAAATCAATTTTTCGGATAACTGATTATGTACAAAAAAAATATATTAACCTATCCCATGTTGAAATTCGTTCAAATCCTGACATGTCCTTAAGTACCCTTTCATGGTCGTGCCAGTGCTGCCAGCTAAAACACACACACCAACAAAAATAATAATGGAGTAGACCAAGACATAGCCAAAGACTGCAGCGCCACAGCACTAGCAGAAATTTAAATTTGCTGACTGAAAAGCTTTCAGTTGATTGACATTTGGATAATTGATGCTCTACTGTACCTGATTAGTCTTGAGCCTCTTAGTTAATATCTTGTAAGGGGTGCCACAGGGGTCATCTTTAGTTTTAGCATTAACATACCTTTTCCATCTCTCATTCCTTATAACCTTTATTCTGCTTTTATACACCTTTCTATTATCCAGATATACACCTTTTAGATAGTTCCATCTATCATGATTGGAACACCTTTGAAATGCCCTCCTACTTTTATTCTTCTGCCTTTTTACGCTATCCAACTCATCACACCACCACTTACGAGCTTTGTGCCTCCTTTCTACCTTTGGAATAGCACAAATCATAACATCTTTGATATACACTGTATATGGGTGCAGTACCTTATTACATCATACTTGTCCTCTAAAATTCAAAATTTTTTAATAATAAATTTTGCCCCAGTTTATGCTGAAATTTTTGCCAATTAGCACTAACAAAATGACAAAAGTATAACACTGAGGATCAAGTACCTTACCTACATTGTACTCATAAATAATTAAGCCATGCTCACTAGTGATTTCATTAACCACTTGCCAATTATCAATATATACACTGTGTGTATTGAGGGTCAAATCAATATATGAACCACCTCTGCTGGATACAAGCATCAGACTTGCCTCTGGATCATTTACACAGACCAAGTCTTATTTATATACCAATCCTAAAAGAAGAGTGCCCCTTTCATCACTAGTCTCACTGTCCCAGAGAGTAGCCTTAGCATTACCATCCATTCTTATTATTATGTTCTCACCATGCAGTTTACACAGGATACACTCTAATTCTCTTAAGCCATTTCTAATATCAGTACTTGGTGGATAATATAAATTCATCACATACACTTACCATCTCCCATAAACTGTGCTACAGCACACATTGGGGATGAGAGGCTTTGAATAGCTAACACCGCTCACCTTCTGTTATAAAAAATAACAGCTGCATCTGGGTGCACTGGTAGTGTATGGTTTTAATCTTAGTATCAAACCCAAGCACATGTCCTGGAGCTGCATAAGATTCTTGAACCAGGGCTATGTCAACCCTACACCTTGCTACCATATTGCTTAGCTCTCCTGGGACAGATCAACTCCAATCCATATTTAATTGTGCAATCTTTATTTTATAATTTGTGAGTAACACCACTATCCAGAGCAGGAAACGGGGAACCACTCTGGTACTAACTTTCCCAAGACTAACCTTGGTGCAACACTAATCACTGACTAACCTGCACCAGGTGTGTGCTGACGTCAGGATAACCTGATATGGCATGAAGAAGTCATTTTCAAATGACATGCCATTTTTAGCATCAAATTTAACTCTCGCTTATAAATTGTCATTTAATCAAAACATATTAATATTTGTCAAAATTAACATATAGAAATATATAGATTATGATTATAATTGTGATTTGAGTTATTTACCAACCTGTTTCTTTTAAGTTATTATTATTAGAATTAGAATTTATTATTAATATTACAATTTTAATAGGAAGGTGAATTTTATGCTATTGAAACATTTGGAAGTACAGGTAAAGGCTATGTTCATGATGATATGGAAGTATCTCACTATATGAAAAACTTTGATGCTGGTCACATACCATTAAGGTAAATTTTGTAAAAGTTTTCAGATTTTTTTAATAATTTTCTATAANTTTTTCAACTTAATAATTTATTAAATTTAGAGTGAATATTTTTTTAATTTATATGTAATTGATATTTGCTCAAATTATTTGGTTATTAATTTTTACTTTTTGTCTAGCAGTCAGTTTTGCTTTTAATTTTGAATGTTTTTAAGATACAGATACTAAATTGCAAGAGCTACATTTGAGATAAGTTAATAATAACAATTTAATCAAGACATTTCAACAAGATATTGTAATTATTTACTAGTAGATAAGCTCAGATTTCCCGGGCAAAAAATAACAAACATCAAGATTATTAGATTATTTCATACTTCTAATCCTTCTGTTATATTATAGTATTTGATTTATATAACTACAAAGATTATGTTACATAAGGGTTCATTGCACCAAGTGACCAATCTAACACATCTTAATAATTCTTTAAATTGTATACAGTAGAGGAATAAAGAATTTTTAAAATGTGTTATATTGATCACTTGGTGTGATAAACCCTAATGTAAGATAACTTTTGTAGTTATATAAATCAAATATAACAAATATTAAAACGAAAACCATATGAAGAGTTTAGTTATTTTAGTCTACCATTGTCATGTTTATCCCAATACTTGGATGGTATGAAATGGCACATTTTCAATGGTCAAGTAAACAGGAATCGAAAATATGATATGTTAAATTTGTCAGATATCATATTTTTTCTTAATAACTCTAAGAAACTTTACCATTTAAAGCCAAACCTCAGATGGTAATCTGCCAATGAATCAAATTTTGCAAAAAATGGACCAAATATTTAATAAACTTAGCACCCTCAAAAACCACTTTATCTCATAGCATGCAACTAATCAGTAATTGCTATACAGAGATGATGGCATATAGTGAAGGGTCATCATACCACATTCCAGAAGCAATCAAGAATTTTCATTCAAAGCTAATGACCAGAAGTATGATTACAGACACACGGAAGTGGTTGTCCATCCTCATAACAATCCTCAGTTGTTTGAGGAATTTGGTTAATAGTGCTAATATCTACATTGAATTTTAAGGTATATATCCATATTTTCATTTTAAAAAGATACATGCCAAATAATTTTATCACCTCTAAACATTATTCCAAGAAGGGGTCTGTGACCTCTGCCTGACTAGAAAAGGGGTTCATAGAACAAAAAAGGTTAAGAAATGTTGTACTATACACTAACTTTTTGTATAATAAGACTTCAGGGAAGACTGTTAGATAGTTATACTGCATGGAGAATATCCTAATCCATCTTTATGTTGTGGTTTTCCATTCTGCTTTGACCAATCTTACTGGTTATTGTAACATTTAAAATATTTTCAATCTCTTGGAATAAGTATCACAAACTTATTTAACCTTTTGTTAACATATGATGATGCTAATGATTCAGTACATAGATCAGGTTGCAACTAGGGGACAAACAAGGCATGTGCCCTGGGTGCCAGTTAAAGGGAGAGCCAAGAAGAAAGGGTGTGTTAGATTAGAAATTAATGATTCCTCAATGCCTAGTTACTTTCCACCCATCCTATATAAGTTAATAGGCTGAATTTATACATTAAAATTTTTTTTCTATTATAAGGAAGCAGGAATTGATGTTAGACTTTGTGATATTGGAGAGGCAATTCAAGAAGTTATGGAATCATATGAAGTAGAAATTGATGGAAAGGTATATCAAGGTGAGAATTTTATTTTTCATTTTTTTAACTAATGTAAATTTTAATGAACACAATTCACATCAATCCATTTGTAGTTATATAAATCAAATTAACTTGAACTTTTCTTTTTTATTTGCATTATATATTTTATTTCTGCATTTAATAAAAACAAGTTGACTTCCAGTAATTCAAAAATTATTTTTCCTACTATAAATTTTGATTACATTGCCAAATATATAACAAATTATGAAATTTTTTTGTTCATTGTTTTCATATTTATTTTGACTTGCTAAAGTATTTTTCATTGAGATATAATATTAGATATCTTTGTTGATATAACAGAATAATTTGTTAGATATTTGATTACATGAGTACAACATAAATGTGTTTACAAGGGGGATTTGTTTCTCAGACTGCCTGTGCTGGCTTAATTGTCCATTTGTTTCCAATATAGACTATCATTACAAAAATTTCAATATGTAAATCTTACACCATACTATAATAGCAAAAAAAAAAAAAGTTTTTATTCAAATTGTGTGAAAAACTTTCAGATTTTCTTCATCAAAATTGAACATAAAATGACCTTCTGATTACAGAACAAAAACATGTTAATTTTTTAATGGCAAGCATCATATTTTGAATGTTACATAGAAAAATGTGCCAATTCTATAGTTATGCAGTTGGCTTTGTTTGCTCATTCCATGGGCTTGGCCACTTGTTTTCAAATATAGACTATTCTTAACAAAAATTTTGCAACACTTCAAAGTACCTCCCCTTGAGGTACCTCTTGCTTTGTACCTCCTGCAGGGTGAATGGACCATCCCTTCCATTCAAAGTAAGCTGGGATAGCTTACTTTGCTCTCCTCTCAACCCAATCAGCTACTCCTGTTTGCTTTGTTTCCTCTTGGGTCGTTCCCAACACTTTGCTCAACCCTATGCTTACTTTGTTTGCTTGTTCAAAAATTTATGATGATTCTTAATTCCTGGTGCTGCCATTTCTATTTTGCTTTTTTGTGACAGAAAAAATGTTATCTTGCTTTTAAGTTAGCCTCTGTTTATCCTTCAATCAAGTTCACTGTAGAGGAAGAACAAAATGTCAGAATATCATTCCTAGATCTAGAAATTTATACATCTCCTGATCTTTTATTTTCTGTCCATCATAGAAACAACAAAGCACCATAAATTATCCCTGCTATATCTTCTCTTATATAGAGGGCATGCCTTCTCCCTTCCACCCGAGCACTAATAGATGAAGAATTACTAATCATTAATATTAATAGAGCAATACAAAAAGCTGGATATTCTCTTTCTAAATTTCATTATCTTTAGAATCAAGTCAAAAATAAGCTATTTTCACAGTCGTTTCTTAGTAACAATGAGAATTTAAAAATAGCACATCCTCCAATACCATATTTAGGCCCTATTTCTCTAAAAATAGTACATCTTTTTAGAAAGATTGGTTTTGTTTTACCAATAACCACATAACCGACCCTAAGAAGACTATTATGTGACGACAGAGATATATTTCAATTGAATGAAAAATCTGGGGTGTAACAAATTCCACTAAAACATGCTCTGTCAGGAGAAAAATTTAGCTACATAGGGGCCATGGCCAGATTGTTGTATTCTTGCATCTTAGAACATTAGGAAAACATCAGAAACGGTAGACCATCAATGGAATTAGCAAAAAAAAATGCTTGACCAAAATTATCAGCCACTCTGGGCCTAAACAAAATTACTCAAATGGTGTAATAATTGGAAAGAATTATTTATTTGGGAGATCCTCTACATAACTGCTATAACACCCTGCAACACCCCAACCCTTGAAATCCCACAATTATGGTTTACATTATTCAAACAATTCAATCAACAATTTTAATTCCTTTTTTGCATAAACAGGTTTCTATGTAATTTCCCAAGATTACATAGTGCTATTGTGCACTATGTAATCTTGGGAAATTACACCACTCGTTATTACTGTATATTTTTAGAACATTGTTTTTATTCAAATTTATTTTATATTCCATCCACGTGCTATATTTAATTTCAAATATTGTTCAAAAATGAAAAATTCGATGGCCGTTGTATTTGACATTCGCCTGGTGGTGATAACTTTATTCTACTGAAAGTACAGTAGGGCATCGATTATCTGACCCTCAATTAACCGTCACATTGGTTAACTGACCGTTCTAGTTGGCAAATTTCAAATGTCTGCTAGTGATGTGGCGCTACAATATTTGGCTATGTCTTAGCTACTTTAATATAATTTTTGTTAAATTTTTGCATGTTTTAGCTGGCAACACTGGCTTGACCATGAAAGGGAGGCCAGTATTTAAACGAGATTTAATTTTCTAATTATGAGTGGTGGTTTGTTTTGTGAGCAATAAAATAATTTTAAAATAATTTTTAACGATACAATAGTGACAATTATTATTTAAAAAAAAAATTTGTTAGGCTAAACATCGATGAAAATTCAATGCGAAGTAGGTTAACAATATACTAATATACTAATTACATTTAACTAATTAATAGCGATATACTAATAAACAAACATCGCTAAACCCAATACATAACATAACTAAACACCAACGATATGCCGAAAATCTATCGGGCTAGTATTAGGCTAATTACTAAATGAATTACGTAACCAATTTGGCTATATATAAGCTATTCCAGCGTATATAAGCTAACTATATAACCGATGGTTATATAGTTAGCTTATATACGCTGGAAGAGGAGATCGGACTGGAGGTCCGGATAGCGTAACTGGCAACGTATCTGCACAGTAAGCAGGAGTTGTGGGTTCAAGTCCCGTTCCGGGCCGATGTTTTCTCCCAGTGGTTCTAAATTATTTAAATTAATTTATTTATTTATAATTATTAATATTAATAAGAGATGGCGCCTAACGCCTACCTCTAGGCCAAATTGGTTACGTAATTCATTTAGTAATTAGCCTAATACTAGCCCGATAGATTTTCAGCATATCGTTGGTGTTTAGATATACTAATATACTATACTAATGTATTTTTTTCATTATTTTCGGTTATTCAACCAACCCGAGTCCCCAATTGAGTCGGATAATCAATGCTCTACTGTATATGTAAAGAATGTAAAATTAAAAGAAATGTGTTAAAATAGTAAGAGCTTTTTTGTTGCTTGTAATACAAACTTTTTGGTGGGGGGGTTGATATGAGGTTTAGAAAATTTGTAGGGGGTCAACGTCAACAATCAAAAAAGTTTGGTGACCCCCTGGGGTAGATGGTTAGTGTAGCCCACACTGACTAACTATTACTATTA